TGATTAAAAATAATTAAATATAAAATATTTTATTAGCAAAATTTAAACAATAATGGAAATAATATTCTGGAATTATTTACTTTATTATTAACCCAACAACAACAACAATCTACAACTACCACAACAATAAATGAAAGTAGCAATTCAGAAGAAACTTTAAATAATTTAATTGGACAATTATTTAATCAAACAGAAAATAATAGAAATTTGAAAACAACAAAAAATAATGTTGGTTTTGAAATAAAAATTTCTTATTGGCACCCCTGAAATAACTTTAGACAAAAAATGTTGAACAGTCAAACTTCATTTTTGGATATCGCTTAGGGATTGAAAAATTGTATCTTGTAATAAGGGTATCTTAAATAATTTCTTAGATAACCCTCCCTCCCTTCCTTCCCCCTCTCTAATTTTTAATCTAATTTAACGAAAAATATTTTAAATTAAAGTATTTATCTGATTCTGGTATATTAAAAAGTGAGGTTTGATTGTATTTGTCTTGCGACTTTGGCAAAAAAGTTTTTAATAATTTAGACTCAGGAAGGAAAAAATTCTATTTAACTTTCTTTTTTCATAAAAAATAATAAGCAATAAAATTCTAAAAAAATTAAAAATATCCTGATTTAAACAATTTTTATATTTTTTAATAAAATATTTATAGGTTTACATTGATTTTCCTCGTGTCAGTTATTATTTACTCAATTTTTGTTTATTTTAAAAAGAAATTTTTGTATTAATTTTCTTCCGCTTTGTTTTTTCCCCAAAATTTCGACTTTAATCTTGAAAAATTTTTTCTTTTATTTTTTTATATTTTTAGGATAACAATTTGGAAGAAAATAATTTAAATTCAATTGAAAACCAAAATTGGCAAAAATCGGAATCTTTAATTGGAACAAATGAAGATGGGCCCCGAACTTCTAAAGAAGATTTAACAATAAATGGAAATATTAATTTAAACAAAAAATCTTCAAATAAATTTGGTAAAAAATATTTTTAATAATTAAATAAAACGGAAAATATAATTAAATATTTAGATTTTTTTGATGTTAAATATTCCCAATTTAATTTATGAACATTTTTAAATATTATCTAGGTTTTTTAAGGATTTACATTTCTAAAAGAAATTTTTAAAATTACCTATCTTATTTTAAACATTTTAATTTTAAACATTTAATCTCTCTTAATTTTTAACAAACAGCTACTAATAGCAATCAACATCCAACAAGCAGTGAAGCACCTTTAGATTTAAGTAATTCAAATAATTTAATTTTACGTCCTCGACCTCGTTCAAATTGTTCTTTTCATTCTTCTGTCGCTTCTTTATCTAATACACCAGCAACAGCCCCTCCCTCAAATATATTTAATAATTCAACAACAGAACAATCAACAAAGTTTAATCCTTCTCAAAATTTGTCAGATTCTCCTTCAATGTTTTTATCATTACAAGCACAAAATCAACAAAATTGTAATAATTTAAATAAATATTAATCTCTTTTGTCAGTCTTCATTTTCTCATTTCAATACACTAGTACCAGTGCACTTATTTTTAGCTTCTTACCCACCCAGTACGAATACTCATGTCCCAAATTATGCCTTATTGTTAATTATGCCTTATTGTTAGAATTTAGGGGACTTTTTATTATTTGTGAATATATAATCCATAGCTTCAAACCACAGTTTATCTCATTAAATATTCCAACTTTTTAGTATTACCATCATTTCCCCCTCACCACCATATCATTGAAGGCATTCCCCCACATACTACAGCAACAACAAATACTTTCCTCCATCCAGCAGCTGCATGGTTATTTGGTCTTCCCCCTCCACCACAATTAAATAGTTCTTTACCACCTCATTGTTCACCTTCATCTCCAAAAAGTCCTTCCCAATTAATTAATAATGTTTGTTCAGCAACATCTTTACAGCAAAATTTACTTTCATCAATGTGCCATCCACAATCCTCACAATCAGTTAATAATAAAAATATTTTTTTTAAATTTTTTTTTAAAAATTAGTTGGCCGATGAAGATGATGATTGGGAACAAATGATGGAAATTAGCTGTACAGATGAAGCAGAAAAGATACGTGAATTGGCTGGGGATAATGCCCAACCACCTACAGATCCTAATCAATGCATTATTTGCCGTCGAGTACTTTCATGTAAATCTGCATTGCAAATGCATTATAGAACACATACCGGTGAATATTTGCTGTAAATAATAATTCTGATCTGTTACATCTAAAGGTGAACGCCCCTTTAAATGTCGAATATGTCAACGTGCTTTCACAACTAAAGGCAACTTAAAAACACACATGGGAGTACACAAATCCAAAGCTCCTCTTCGCCAACATATTTTTGCTTTGGGAAGTAATTCTGATAGTCCAGAAAGATGTCATTCTTCTAATGAAAATTTAATTAATTCTGATTTATTTTCTGGACAACAACAACGTTTTTCGATGGAAGAGGGTAGCCAGCCATTAAATAATTTAAATCGGTAATTTTTAAAAAGGTAATTAAATTAAATCAAGTCTCTTCATTTTAAAGAAGTTTTCCTTTTCCACCTTCAATTCTTTTCTCATCATCATCATCAACCAGTACTGGCAGAAACAATTTAGTTTATGGTTCTTCCCTCCCTCCACATTCTAATATTGGCTCTCTTCCCCAATCTTTCCCTCCAAACTTTCCCCCAACAACATTTATGTCTAATTTTTCACCAATCAACGGAATACCTCCACACTTTCCACTATCAATGGCAGATTCTTCACAGGCAGCACTTTCAGCACAATTACAATTATTTTTATCTTCAAATCATCCTCAATTAAATGAAAATAATTCTTCTGTTGATCATGGATTAGCATTAAGTAATTTATTTCTTCCTCCAAAAGATGGACAAAAAATGGAAGTCGAAAATGGAAGAATAAAAAATGAAGAAAAGAATAAAATGGAAGGAGAGGAGGGGGAAGAGAAAAATGAAGAAATGACATCTTCAAATAACGTTTCTTCTCCAAATAGAAAAATAAGTGATGAAAATAGTAATAATAATAATGAAGATAATAACAACAATAATATTTTTGGATTACCAGCATTTTTTATTCAAAAATTGGCAGCTGCTGCTAAATTTAAAATTGAAGAACAATTTTTGTCTTCTTCCTCTAATATGAAAAGTTCTTTTAAGGAAAATGATGATCAAGAGGAAGAAGAAGATGGAAAGACAAAAAAGAAGAAGAAAAGGATAAATGATGATGAAATTGAGGAATTGGAGATGAAAAAGTTTTCTAAAAAGGAGGAAGGGGAACAGAAAAGGAAGGATGGTGAAGAGGATGAGGAGGATAAAGGAAGAATTGAGTCATCAACTAGTCCTTCAATGCTTGAATCAGTTCCACAAACATCCTTTTCTTCTTCGATTAAAGTAAAAGAAGAAATTAAGAAGGAGAAAGAGGAAAATCCTTTAGAGAAGTAAATTATTTTAATTTTTATATAAAATATAAAATTATCAAAAAATTTCTTTAAATTTTAACGATAATTAGCAAATATTTCTTTCAATTTTTAATATTTTCCAGTCTTCAACGAATTTTTTCTGCTGCTGATTCACCCCCACCACAACCTCCCTCTTCTTCTACTATGCCCCCTTCTGCAGCTTGTTTTCTTTTGGCCCCAATACAAAAACCTCCAAATGCTAAACATCATTGTAAATAATAAATGATCGAAAAAAAAGTTTAAAAATTATATTAAGGTCGTTGGTGTATGAAAGGATTTAGTAGTTCATCTGCTTTGCAAATACATACTCGAACACACACAGGCAAATCTCTTTTAATTATAACTAATCCAAAAATATATATTTTTTTAGGTGATCGTCCATATAAATGTGAAATTTGTGAAAGAGCATTTACTACACGTGGAAATTTAAAAGTACATAAAGGTACTTACTCTTTGTCTTTCAAAATAAAATAATAATTTTATTTAAATTTTATAAGGAACGCATTCACTCCCACAAAATCCTTCTCGTCGTGGCCGTCGAATTTTTGATATGGAAGACACAATTTTGGGAACAATAAGGCAACAACAGCCCCATTTATTCCCACAATCCCCACCATTACCCTCAAATTTTGATGAACAACAACAAAGACAACAACAACAGGCTGCCGCAGCAATAGCTAATTTATTAGCAAATGTTGTTGGAAATAATAATTCTTTTGGAATATTGAATGAAACAGCTACTAATTCTAATACTTCAATTCCTGCTTTGCTTAACTCTTCTCCCAATGCTTCGAGTAATTAAAATTCTTTTAATTAGAAAATTGTTTATTCACTCAATTTCTGAATTAATTTTGAAATATTCTGAAATTTTACAAGAAATAATTGTTTTTCAGTTTCAGAAACACCTTCAGCTTCAAATCAATTATTATCAACAACAACTTCCCCTTTATTGTCAACCACAAATGCTTCAAATTTTGCTGCTGCAGCTGCAGCACAATTAGCAGCACTTGGAAGTAATGACGGGCAGCAATTGTTAATGGGGTTATTATTTCAACATTTACAAAATGTTGAAATGTCAGAAAGAATTGAAGGTGAAAGGGAAGAAGGGGAAGTGGAAGGGGAGGAAGAAGAAAATGGAAGAGAAGAAAATGAGAGGGGAGAATTAAAAGAAAGAGAAGAAGAAGAAGATTCTGTTAATAAAACAACAGAGCCTCCTTCTGTAATAAAATTAAATAATAATAATGAACGGATAGAAGAATATTTGAAAGAAAATATTAAAAAGAAAAATCATTCTAGTGAAAATAATATTATTGTTCCCGTGCATAATACAGCAATTTTGTAGCTTTAAATTTATGTGAAAATTATTATTAACTTTTTTTTTGTTTTGTAAAAAGAATAATTTAAATAAAAATATTTAAATCTAAAATAAAAGAAATATTGTTTTCATAAACATAAATCTGAAAATATTTATTAGAGTGATCAGAAAAACTCAGTGGATCGATGTTGAGTGTCAAGTTTCTTTAATTCAAACTCCAAATGGCAAAAGGGGAATAAATGTATTTTGTTCCCCACGCTTTCTTTGTCGGCGCCAATTTATTAATAGAGCATTAACTGTAGAATTTAGTAATTGTTCTTCTTCTTGATCCATTTCATCAGCAAATTTAAGCGCCTCAAAACTTTGAGGAGTAAATGCTAATTTTTAATACAAAATTTATTTTATTTAAATCAAAATTACCCAAAGTATTTCTTCTTTGGTGTTGTAACAGCCAAAGACTAAAAGTTCGATGTGACCAATTTCCCCCAAAAGCTCCATCAGCATTTAATTCCTGTACATATTTAAGTATATCTAAAGAAGAAATATCTTCTTTATCTGGATATTTAGCTCTTATTTGGTCAATTAAAAGAAGTAATTCTTTTACTTCCATCTAAAATAAAAATAAAATTTTTTAGAAAAAAAATATTTCTTTTTCTCGCCTCCATTTGTTGTTGTTTCCTTTTATTAGCTCTCCTCTTTGCCCAATTAATTTTTCTTCCAAAATAATGAATTTTTAAAAACATCCTTTAAAAAATAATTTATGATTTACTAATTTAATTTTCTCTTAACCATTTCAATTCACTAGCAGCCAAATCTGCACACATAGACAATACAGCTAATCCAAAAAATACAAAAACAAAAATATAAATTAAAGTCATTAAATAGGATATATGCGTAGGCATTTCACTCATTGTTAGATTTGCGACGAGATTAAAAGTAACAAAAAAGCCCTAAAGAGAGATGATAAATTATAAATAGTTACTATACAAGATTATCTTCCCGTCATCCTCCCTTTCTTTTCTCCTCTCTACTAGAAAAACAAATCGTCAAGAAAAGGAAACTTGTTGGCCATAGAAATGTTGGTTACATTCTGTTAATTTTTACTTTGATTTTTAAATAAATAAATTTATGGTTGACAGTTATTTGTCTAAAACATTTGTTTTTCCTAAATTAGAGAAAGGAGAAAACATCTTGAAGTTGGAGTTTTGAATCTTTTCTGGGTATCTCCATAAAAACAAAAGATATATGTGTCGCAGTCCAATTTCAATTCTTGTCCTCAATTTGGCCGGTCGAATTGAATTTGGACAAGAATTGAAATTGGACTGCGACATATGTCAATATTAATTTTAATTTATAATTTGCCTCAATAAAATTATGTCCACTTCCATCAGCTGCCATATAAACCCAACCACCAAGCATACAAAACAATAATAAAATTGCTGCATTAACAGATAAAGGAAGACGACGTTTAGTTTCTTCATTTTTCTCACTTTCATTGCTTTTAGATTTTTGTTTGCTTTTATTTGGTAATGCATTTACAACCCTTTTTTAAAAATATTTATTAAAAAATATTTAAAAAAACAATTGTTTGTGTCGCCGTCGATTGGCAAGTGAAGGTTGTGATGATGCATTAAATGCTAAATTTGTTTCTATATTTTGTAAAGTAACTGGTCCTGTACGCCGACGACGTATTCGACAGCAAAGTTTACGTAAACGACGAAAAGTACGCTACAAAAATTGAAAAAAACAAAGGAAATTCTTTAAATTTTAAAAGAAAATAACCAAAATTCTATCATATATAGCCAATACAACATCTGACAAAAAACGGCCTATATCTACAGCCGCTAAAACAGTTAATGGAATTCCCAACAATCCATAACCTATTGACAACCATTGACCGAATGGAGTCATAGGTGTTGCTGAGGCATAACCAGTTGTTGTCTGATAATTTAAATTATTTAAAGGTTCTTTTCAGTTATTCACACAAAAGTCTGTAAATATTATCCTTAACAAAAAGTTGGGAATAGGGCAAATCTTTTATCCTTCTTGTATATATTTGGTAATCTAATTTAGATGGGTAATTCCTCTAATAACCAACCCGGTTGAAAATTAAATCTGTTATTGTAATCTAATATTTAAATCAAAATCACCAAAATAGAGAGGGCATATAAAGTTGAGGACATCGGATCCCATCTTGGTGGAAGTATTTTATCAAGTACAGGCTCTTCTGAGGCACTCAACCGAAACTGTGGGCCTTCAAAAAATTGTGAGAGGCGTGATAGGGAAGAATAAATTCCTTCTCTCAAAAGTTTTGAATTAAATTGTTTTTGTGAATTTTCTGGATTTTGTGTAAAAGAGGAAGAGCATTCTTCATCAATTGAAGAAGTTATTTGTTCATAAATATTTGCTAAAATAAATTATAAAAAAATTATTTTTAATTTTTATTACAAATTTGTAAAAGTCTTTTGCTTTGTTCTAATCTTTCAGCTCTATGTTCAATTCTAGCAAATGCCCAAGCACCAACCAAAAGATATAAACATAAAATTACGTATAAACAAATGTGAGGCAATGCTATTTTGAATAGCTTAAATTAAAAATTAAAATTTAATTAAGAAAAAAATATTCCCCACACCTGTTTCATACGATCGCTTTCATCTTTTTCTTTATTCTCAACATTTTTTACTTTTTCTATTCTTGCTTCATTTCCTCCACAAAATGAATGCCTTCCACTAATTGAAATATTATCACTAATACCTTTATTTTTTCTAATTTCATATTTATTACTTTCGTTATTAATAGTTGTGTTATTATTACAATCACCCTCCATTAATTTATAATATTATTTTTTCTAAAACAGCGTATAGATCAGAGATGTGCCGAAACAAATTTTAAACCGCGAAAAACGGAAGGCGAAAGTCCAAAAAAGGCGGAATCTTGGCGAAAGACGAAATGGCACACCCCTGGTATAGATATTCATTTGATACAGGTTTTGTGTAAAGCAGTTTTAAAAATATTTTTGTCGAACTAGTTAAATAACTTTGATAATAAATGGGAACTGTTTATGAAATGACCTTGTAATTGAGTAAATACGATAGACAATTAAATACTAAAATATGTATTTAATAATAATGAAAATTGTTAGGCCAACCATAATTTTATAAGAAATAAAATAAAACCCACAACCAGCTGAGGTCTTTTAACCATTTATTACAAAGCTTTTACTAAATATTAACTGGTGTATACATGAAATATAATTATTTTCTGGTAATTTTTTATGAAAGAAAATAATTTAAAAAGAAACTTCTCAAAAGAAAAATTCTTTAAAATAATTTATCTTAAAAAAATAATATTTCATTTTCTGTAAAAGACAAGGAAAGAACTAAATTGGGGGTAAGAACTAAATTGGGGACTCACAAAGAGTTTTAAGAAATCTTTAAATTCTCTAACAAATAATTTAGGAATTTTAAAATTTTCTTTAACAATTTAATTAATTAATTAATTAAGAAATTCATTTAAACATTTATATATAAATTAGAAAATTATTTTTAAAAAATAATTAAGAAAATATTTAAATAATATAACACAAATATAAAGTAAATAAGGCTGACTGTAAATATGCAGAAATTGAAAAATGGGAAATTTTAAATTCTTAGAAAGGTCTTCCTTTGTTTTTTTTTTCAAAAAAATTGTTAAAAGACAAGCCTGTCTCTATAATGTATGCGTGAGTTGTTTATCCATAAAACGACGTTTAGCAAAACAAAGCCACCACTAGAAAATTAAAAGGTAAATCAAGATATATTTTTAAATGACTCCAAAGTTTTCCTAGCCCTGATAACCAAAAGACAGGTTTTGACACTTAATAACAGAAATAGTCACAAACTTTAGACGGCATTCCATCAGGATTCGGAAATATTCGTTCAAGTAAACGAACGCCCATTTCTTGTCTCAATTGTTGCAAATAATTGCGCATTGTTTCTAAAAAGTGATTTGAAAAGATTTTTTAATAAAAGAAAAATACCTTCATCTTGTGCATTAGCTGGCGGTTTGAAAAGACTAGGAAATGGGAAAGCTTGTTCACCAGGAATTGGAAATCCGCGTCGTGAGTCTAAAGCCAAAGTTGTCAATTCTTTGCTTGCTTGTAATTTTTGGACAATCTAACAAAATTAAGTTAAAATTATCTTGAATATTTTAATAATAAAAATTTTATTTTTTTATCAAAATGGAAAAATAAATTTGATCGTATTCGTACCACTTATATGTTTGGACTCGTATTTCGAAGAACATAAATTTTGATACGATAACATCAAGGGCGTATCCAGTGGGGCTGGAGGGGGGCTAGAGCCCCCCCCCCCCCTAAAATAAAAATAAGGGTAATTCCTACTTTTTGATGTAGAATCCTCTTCAAACATTCAGTAATGTAGAGAAACAAGTAAATCAAAGTTCTATCAGCAGGTCCTTTTATCTCAAAATTGCGAAAGAACACATTTGGCCTAAAATAGAGAAGTGCCTCATCAATTACATCTTCATAAGTAGCATCATCTTAAATTAATTTTTGAAAATTTTCTTTTTTAATAAATACCAATTCTTGTTGCCGGTCCTCTAAATGAAGTTTTTAACGGCAAAATGGCCATATTTCCAACCAAAGACTGAGGCGATTTTTGATCAACATTATCCGCATCCAAGTTGAATTTTGAGTGAAAGGCCTAAATTCGAGAAATTGTCAGTTAAAAATTTTAAAAAAAACTAACCGGCATTCAAATAATTAATATGGCACCAAAAGTTGAAGAAAAGTAAACTAATTTACAAATAAAGATGAAGATAGAATATTTAAATATAATTAAGAAATAAACTTATAAACAGAAAAATTTTAAAAATAAAATTTTTATCAAAAATATATGTAAGTCAAAAAAGAGGTAAAAAGAGACTCATATCACAAGTCAAAAATATAACAAATTAAAAATAAACAAAAAAAACTACATAGGTACCTGAATTAGAAAATTCCTACTTTAATTTTTGTTTCTAACTATTGCTTATTCCTTGATCATCATCTACTAATTTGTGTTGCCGATTGCGATCATCGTGTTCAGTTTCAAGTGATTCCTTTGTTGCTCGCATAAATTCGATCGAACAAGAGGTTAATAAAGAAATCCAATTCTTTAATTGTTCTTGATTTTCTGTCGCCATTACATAAGTTTGTCCAGTTCTTAATTTAAAAATTTTTGAGTAAATTAAAAACGGGTAAACGTGCTAGGATTAAAAAATTTTTAATCTGAAAAATCATAGAAAACTTGAACCTAAGAAAACCCCTAATCCCAATTTAAAATTTAAATTAAAACAAAAATCTTAATTTTCAAATTTGAAAAGCAATTGAAATACTTACGTATTAAATCTTATAATAAAGGAATGTTCCATTCCAGTAGAATTATCGTCTGCAAGTTCAACAACACAATCCTCCATTATTATAAGAAGTAAAGGGATCTCTAACCTCTCTTCTGATTTAAACAAAAATAAAAGATTGGCTTTGAGAATGGCATAAAGTCGACGGCGAGAATCATCCTAATGATTTTAATTAAAAATTAAAAAAAAATTTACTACCTGAAGTACATGTAGATAGCCAGAAATCTTTTTATCATATGCCTTATCAGAAATCAATGAAACAAGTGAACTACCGTTGGCAATCATTAAAATCTAAAAATAAAAAATAAAATACATATAAAATTCAGTAAGTTGTTAAAGAAATTTCCGAGACTCTAAACGAAAAAATTGAGTTTAAATTAAATACAGTAGGGGCGTCCAAAACAACGCGCGGCCATAACAGCGCAAAGCCAAACTCGCTTCAAGATTTTCGAATCTGAACTAATTTAGTATCAAACGATTCCTCTAGTTAAGCTAAAGAGATTGGTACCAAAATTGATAAGGGCCAAAAATATTCCAGCTAGTTATGGCTTTGCGTTGTTATGGCCGCGCGTTGTTTGGGCTGTACCCAATACAGTATACTTTAATTTTTCTGAATAAATGACATTTCATCCATTTTATGAGTCAAATGTTTTCGTGATTTTTTTGTGATTTTCTTTTTATTAACTCTCTAAATTATTCAAAGTATTCGATTTTTAGTCTCGTTTTGACCAAATCTAACTCATTTTTATTTAGTTTATTTTGACGATTTCATTCTAATTATTCATGTCCGACCAATTTTCACAGTTGAGCAATGATGAGCTTCGACAAGAATTGATCAAAAATGGTTTAAATTTATTAAAATTTACTAATCTCTTAATAAAAATAGGCATTCCTTTTGGACCGATTGGATCAACAACACGAAAAGTCTATGAGAAAAAATTGCAAAATCTTCTGGAAAATGGAGTCGAACCTTTGATTGCAAATAATGAGACTGGAATTACTAATGGTGGTGGACATGAAGCTGTGGATACAATTGATTTCTCAAATGATAATGGGCACACGCCGAGTCGTGAAGTTAGTCCAGTTCTTGTGCAACACACAAATGGAGTGACGGCAAGTCCTCAACACCGAGAGGTATATTTTTGGATAAAATCGAACAAGATTTTAAACTAGGTCTTAACTATAAGTAAAAATTTTTGGGCAAACAAAAGTTTATTTTTTCCTTCCCAAGTTTTTTCCTTATTTTGTACAGACTGGTCAGATTCTCTTCCTCAGATTAATCTTTTATTAATGTCATTGATATAGCATAGGAAGACCGAGATAAATTAAGGGAGGAAGAAAGTCTGACCACCTGTACAAAATTAAAAGCTTGGGTAAGAAGAAAGGCGAACCCTAAACCTTGGTTGAGTCGAACCTTTTATTGCAAATATTTTTTTAATAGTATTTAAAATCTTTGCAAAGTTAAATTTTACAAGTTTTTTATGTTTACTTTCGGAAATTCCTGTTAGCCTGATAACATATGACTTGTATTTGATTCCTTATATTTAAGGGAAGTGCCAGACCTGGTGCTGAAAATGATAGCGACAATGAAGAGGATTCTTGTGAAAGTGCAAGGTTTTGTTTTTTAATGATTTTTCTTGATTTAATTATTCTACTTTTAAAGAATACTCTCGCCAGATGAGGCTCGTGCTTTCCGTTTGAAATTCAATCCACCATCTGACAACGGCTCTTACACTGGAGTTTATCGTCGTCGGGGAGTTGACGATCGGCGTTTGACACCAGCCAAAACACCACCTCCACAGTGCAAAGGAAAATCTTTTCGTCGTGTGGCTTTGGGAATGTTCATCGCTTTTGTTATGCTGAGTTCTGTTGGGATTCTTGTGTATCTGGCTTTTGGACCAGAAATGAAAAATGCTTTGGAACGTTTCGATTTTTCTGTGTTCTATGCATCGCTGACTGGAGGGAAACAAAGTAAAGAACCTGTTATCTCTTCAAATAAAGGAAATTAATTTTTTGGTGGTTTTATCGTTATTTTAATTTTATGGAATCTGTCAAAGTTAAGTTTTTGTTCTATATATATTTAAGTATTTAATAATTTATTTTGTTTTGACGATTAAGGATTGAAGTGAAATATTTCGATCTTAAATATCCTAAATACCCCTTTTTTCAACAAACTCGCACCTTTCTCCCCAATTTTTGACATTTAATTTACAATAAACTTTTTGTTTTGAGACCTCTTTTTTGTTATAATTTTTTGTTAATTTGAGCAAGCAGTATTTTAAAAATCTACCTATATAAAATGACCATAAATACCTAAATAACATTTTATTTAAATTGCTCAAATTTCCCCCTCTTGCATTTATTGTATTGATCTTAATCGAATTTTGTTCAAAATACACCTCTCTAAAATTGTTCAATTTTATCATATTAGCCAAATATTTTCTATAACCAATAAACCTTTTAATGGAATTTGCTCGACATTCTTTCAAGTTTACACATAAAAATCACTAATTTATCTGGGCATTTTTCTTCGATACCAAAAATCCATCTTCTGAACACATACCACAATTATAAAAAATTCCTCTTATTTTAAAAATTTTAAGTTAACTTTTAGTTTCTCAAACAAAATTATTTTCGGTATGTACTTTTATCGAGGTTAAAATGATTTTTAAAATAGTCAGGACAAGATCATTTTTGTTAATTTTACATTGATTTTCTTTAAAAAATTTGCCAACAGAAAAGAGGTTAAAGGAACCGTGCAACCAACTTTACTACTAATTGGGGTACTGCCATTTTCAATTTTCGTTTCAAACAAATATGGGAATAGGGTCCAATGGGAAATGGTTGGGTGGTTGGTAAGAAGGAAAACAGGTCAAAAGGAATTTGGAAAGGAATGCAAAAGACGATTACAACAGAAAAAATTCACTGCAATTTTTTAAATTCTTCCTTTTTATTGTTTCCTATTTATTTTTAATAAGTAAATTAGTGACTACAAAATCGAACAAATTATTGAATTAAATATTATTTGATTGGGTGTCCTTCTCTTAAACATAACTGAAAATGCAATACTTCATTGTGCACAATTTTTTATTGTGGAATTGTCTCACTGTCAATCTGACGGCCACCCTGTAGATACCGGTTGCTGTTCCATTGGGTATTGAGACAATTCCCAGTGAGACAATTGCACAGTGAAGGGTGTGGTTAAGTGCATTTAAGTGAGAAGGTGGATTGAAATTCTAACTTGTCAAAAGTTCGAACACTATCAGCATCAAATAATTTTTAATAAAATTTTTTACTTTAAAATTCAACTTTGAATTTATGCAAATTACCTAACAAGATTATTAAATACTTATGTATTCTTTCGAAAATCTGCATAAGTGCCAAGGATTTTTCGGTTTCGTTCTTCGGCTTGGTCTTCGGTTTTCTGAAAAATTTTATAAAGAACTCTCCGTAAAATAGAGGGGGGCTACATGCCTTTTAATTTCCCTACTGTAATTTTGTTCGAGCGAGTCACCTGTTAACTGTCTAATTGTATAGAGCCTAAATACAGTTTAGGCTTCATATTTTGGCACTTAAGTTGGCGTTCTATAATTTAATAGAATAAAGAGATTTCGTCCCCTATTGTTTTTTTCAGAAAGATACTAGTAACTTTTCTTTGCTAATTTTCAAGTGTAAAGAAGAGAGACGACAAATTTTCACTAAATTCCTGTTAAGTTAGTGCTTGCTTTTGAAACTGTGATTTATATTATAGATTTGAGGAGATTTCACTGCAGTTTATTTTAAAATTTAGGATTCTCTTGTGTCACTATGTGCTTGAAAAATTACTCCCAAACCCTAATTTTATTCTTATTACACCTAGAGCAAATCACATCCCTCTTTCTCACACTGGCTTCTTTTCCCTGTATGTGATTTTCTTCGTTTTAGCCCCTCGTTATCCCAGTCATTGAAATGTAGTAGTAATGTTAGCATCTAACTGTGAATGTACGTGTGTCGCTTTTATCGTGTGTACTCGTACTATTGAAGTGGCAGCAGAACCGGTCTGTCGCCTTCGTGCCCGCTCAAAACATCAAACTCTTAAAATATCTAGACGAGTAAAAAAGCTCAAAATATCTAGACGGTTAAAGAATCTCAAAATATCTAGACGGCTATAAAATCTAAAAATATATTTTCTTAAAACGTCAAACTCTTAAAATATATTTACGGGTAAAATATCTCAAAATATCAAAATATATTTTTTCAATTAAAAGGGACAGTTGAGTCCGCAGAAAAAAGTTTTCGCCGCTGCGGAGGAAGCCGGGCATGTCGAGCGGAACGACGGCCGCCGCTTCGCTACGGTCGCCGCGAGCGAAGCGAGCACGACCGCAGCGAAGCACGGCCATCGTGTAGCGAAGACCATGCCCGGCCTACCCTCCGTAGCAGCACAAAAACAGTTTTTCCAGCGAAGATTCTGTTGGTCATAACTTTGTTCAGAAGCGTCCAATCGAGCTGATTTTGGTTTCACTTGATTCAGCTCGTCGAACTCATGCAAAATTGGTCCTGAAGTACTACATCTTAAAATATATTCACCCCTGATACAAGGAAGAAATATGGGACTCAACTGTCCCTTTTAATTAAAAAATATATTTTGATATTTTGAGATATTTTACCCGTAAATATATTTTAAGAGTTTGATGTTTTGAGAGAATATGTTTTGAGATTTTTTACTCGTCTAGATATTTTGAGAGTTTGATGTTTTAAGAATTTATGTTTTGTATGGGAGCCGTCGCCTTTGGGGATGGTCGCGGCCATTACAATCCCGGGTACTCTCTCTTTTCTATTTTCTCTTTTCATACGTATGGACTATCTTCTTTCTATCCCTTTTTCATTGGCCATATCTCTCATTTAACTGTCCTTTTTATATTTTCTCTTCCCTGCATTTTATGTCCTATCTCTATTTTTAAAGCATTCTTGTCCCTAATGTACATCTCGAAAAGCCAGAAAAATAAAATCGATTTCCGCTCTCATAGTTGTTCTGTAGCTTTAGCAGCTGCGACGGCAACGCAGCAGGATTTCGTCTTCATATAACGGAGTGCGGCAAAGCGGCGACACGGCGTTGTGATGCTTCTGCTACTACTACTATCATCTTCGTTATGAAGAGAATTCTTTCCTTTCTTTGCTTATATTGGCATCCTTGCGCTAATACATCGTGTATAGTTCGTTTATAACACAACAATGTGGTCTTTTATTTTGGTTGATTGGCTATCAGCCTGTTTCTTTCTATTAAATATTGATGGGTGGGGGAAAGGGTAAAGAAAAATTAAGGAATAAAAACAGGTAACGCGCAAAAATCGTCATAATAATCCAAAATTATCCAAATACATTCTTATTTTTTTAGAAATGGTTTTTCTATGAATAATGAACGATTAATAAATGCATTGCACTCTGCGCATTAAGAATTGCGCCAGATGAAGTTCTGGTTGTTATTAGAGAAATACATTTCAATACAAACTTTAATATACCGACTTTTCAATTAATCTACTCAACAACAATAAACTGCATTTATCAATCAAAAAATTCTCATCAAAGTACTACTTGCTATTTGCTTCATTTTTTAAATTACAAATAAGTGCTATAACTGCGAAAAGTTACTAACGCAGTTGAAGCAGAAGGATTCATCTTCTGTCGGCAAAACGGGCCGACTCACTGGCTTCTCAGTGGGGCCGATGGCCTGTTGTCTGAGCGAGGAGGCGCGTGAACAGAAGCGCATTAATCAAGAAATTGAAAAACAATTACAACGAGATAAGAGGAATGCACGTCGTGAGCTCAAACTCCTCCTATTAGGTTTATCCTTGAATTTTTGACTTTCTGTAATTTATAATTCAGGCACGGGTGAATCTGGCAAATCCACTTTCATCAAACAGATGCGAATTATCCATGGTAGTGGTTATTCATTGGAGGATAAACGACAGCATACTCGTCTTGTCTATCAGAACGTATTTATGGCAATGTAATAATTATAAATCTAGGGGATTGACGGGCATTAGAATTAGGTTAAAGTTGACACTAGTTCTGACAAATCAGACGTTAGTGACTTTATGGGTTTTTAGAGAGGTTTCATTGCACCTGTTAAGTTCAACTTAAGAAATGTCATGTTTGTCCGTAGAGGATATTTTGTCGTTGACGTTATATCCCTAGGCCCCGTTTTATTAACTTTTATGTTTCTTAGACTTCAATGTGTTTGCTTAGTGATATTAATAACCTAATAAGGGTTTATTTTATAATCAAAGTTATTTTTTTCAGGCAATCCATGATACGGGCAATGGAGACGCTGGCCATCCCTTATGGGGAGGCGTCATCCGAAGAAAAGGCCAATGTTGTTCGAGCAATTGATTATGAAAATATAACCACATTTGAAGAGCCTTATGTAAGCTATATTGCCGATTTGTGGACAGATCCAGGCATTCAGGAGGCTTATGATCGACGAAGGGAGTATCAGCTTACTGACTCTGCTAAATAGTAATTTTTATCTTAATTGGGTTGTTATATTTTCTGGCGAAAACTTCCCTTTTCAGTCTTAATGATTGAGATTATTCATTATAGGAAGAATAGCAAACTTACGTATTTTACATAACTAACTTATTTTTAAATAGCTATTTGACCGACGTGCGACGGTTGGCTGAACATGGCTATGTGCCAACGGAACAAGACATTCTTCGAGTTCGTGTTCCCACAACTGGAATAATTGAGTATCCATTCGATTTGGAGCAGATTGTTTTCAGGATGGTTGATGTTGGTGGACAGGTTTTGTTTGCTTGGATATAATTTGGCACATAAATTATTCTTTTATCGGGATGACTTCCTCTTTCAAGACACTATGGGCCATAGATCCATCCTTTAAATGAATTTCTTATTATTTTAAGAGATCTGAGCGTCGTAAATGGATACATTGTTTTGAGAATGTCACTTCCATAATGTTCTTAGTCGCCTTGTCCGAATATGATCAAGTTCTTGTTGAGTGTGACAATGAGGTTTTGATACATATTTATATTATTCATTATTCCTTGATTTCATAGAACCGAATGGAAGAATCGAAAGCGCTCTTTCGCACTATTATAACTTATCCATGGTTTCAAAACTCATCTGTAATTCTTTTTCTAAATAAGAAGGATTTGTTAGCGGAGAAGATTCTCTACTCTCATTTGGCTGACTACTTTCCCGAATATGACGGTATTTTTTAAATGATTCTTTTAAGTAGTTAGCTCATAATAAAATCGTAGAATGATTTCTTAAAATCGTAGAATGATTTTAAGATTTTTGTTTTTATGTATTAATTCTCTTATTAGGCCCTCCACGAGATGAGATGGCTGCTAGGGAGTTTATATTGAAAATGTTCGTCGATCTAAATCCGGACACTGAGAAGATTATTTATTCACATTTCACTTGTGCCACAGGTTTTTGTCATCTAAATTTTTATTAAAAATCTGCTTCTTAAGATACTGAAAACATTAGATTCGTTTTTGCAGCGGTGAAGGACACAATTCTGCAGCACAATCTGAGGGAATACAATCTCGTTTGAAGGTTTTTAAAATTAAATCTTCACAAAAATTACATGGAAATTATCCCTTTTCTCAATTTCTTTCGAGAAATATAACCCTTTTTTCGTTATTTTTAAATCAGTCAAAATTGCTTCTTTTGCTCGATTCTTTACTAAAATTCTTCAATAATTGAGAGTGGATTTATATATTTTCAGAATCTGCGTCTTTCAGTTTAATTCTTACATTAAACATTATTTTTTTGCCTCTCGGATGGGGATCCATTTTGAGTGTAAATCCATTCTCTCGAAATAATTAAAAATGTCTTTGTTAGGCGGCGTAAGTGAATTTGTTGTAAACACTGCCGGTCCTCTATTCAAATTTTGTTTTTTGGTATGTATCATTTCACAATTTCTAATGTATTTATTTATAAAGTTCAAGTAATTATTGTGAAATGAAGCTACCAAGTTATCTTTTTTCATTAACTAATTTGGGTTCAATCCACATGATCAAAATTATTAACGTTTCCGAAGCCGTTCAAAGGGGTCCTGGCTCAACCGAATCCCATACCTATAACTCATGAAGGTTTGACAAGTTTTAATGTCTTGGTATCATTGGATAGAGAATCAAATGCAAAATATTCTACTAAAAAATTAAAATTCATGACAGGTCGATAAAAAGTGTTGTCTTAAGATTAAATTTTTCAAAAAAAATTTTCGGAACTTTATCGATCATAACTTTCTTGTCGTTTAGTCGAGAATTCTGATTTGTTGCGATCTTGTAGGTATTTAATTCTATATCCATTGGTATTAAAAACAAGAAAGTGGCATCCCTTCTTAAGTTATAGAGCTTGGACTCGAATAAATTAAGGAGTACCCTAACATTTATACTTTAACATAAATCTAGAGGATTATTCAAAAGTATGTTTTTGATTTATTATTAACAGACCTAACAATAAGTTTTCTATCTTGTGGAAATGGACCCAAAGTTTATCCACTTCAAATATGGTATATTTTATTCATCTTTACATATTTTTATTTTTCCCATGGCCATTCCTATTTTAGCCTCAATAGTCCAAATTTGTTTATTACTTATTTGCTTTTTATCTGCTAATAAGATTATGTGGAAGCTATTATTACAACATTTTTAAACCAGTGCAGAACAAGGAGACTAATGGTAGAAAATATTTTGGGAGTTATTAGGACTAACTGTCCATCCCTGCCACATAAACTATAATGTATAATAATAATATGTCTCTTAATTAGTTATTTGTCCCAGAATCTGCGCGTAATTTTCCCATTTCCTACTTTTTTTAATTGAATGGCCAATGTTTCCACCTTATTCTTTTTAAATAAATGCTTTGTTTTTATTATATTTGTTTTTTTTAATTCTAAAAACATGTTAATTTTTTAAAATAATTGATATTGTCTACTACTATATAACTATTATTATATGCTCCCCCATTTTTATAATCTTTCATTAATATTTTCTGCACAAATTTATATTTCCTCAAGCACAAACGCACAACAAAATTGTTGTTTAACTAATCGCTAATATTTAAAAGATTACACATAAACATACATTTTTTCAAGTTTTTACCTATTTTGCTGCCACACATCCATGCTAATATATTAACTAATAATTGCATAATTAAAGGTTTAAAATCTATGGGTTTTTAAAAGAGTTGATCATTTTGCTTTTACTTTTTCATGAGGAAAGATCCAAATAGTCATTTAGATGTTTAAGGGGGAAGTGATGAGAGTTTAGGATATATTCATTTATTTTTAGAACTAGATACACCACTAGTATTTTACTATTTTAGTGCAACAACAGAATTGAGGATTTTGCTTATTAACTTATATAGGGCCGGAGCTCGAACTGATTCTGCCAAGACCATCAAATTTCTTATAAATTTGCCATCATGCTTTTAAAGTACCCAGCCTCTAATAGAAGTCCACCTCTAATATAAGCCCATCCAGTGACCCGTTGAAGAATTTTATAGTAATTGCAAACCGTTTTTGGCCAATTAAAATTTCGTACAAAATTTATTTTTCATTTTCGAAGCGGAAATATGTATTATTGGATAAATTTAAAAAATTTATTACATTTATTATACAACTGAATAATAAAAAATCTAAAACGATCTTCCAAACAAATTTTGCTTGATTTCTGGGATTAATATTTATTTTACAATATCATGCACCTGCCGAAAGCTTAATATCTCTTAATTCACTCATTTTGTAAATTTTGTCAATGTCATGTAGTTCGCTAATCCAAACTTTTTGTGGTTCTGTACCTCTTCGTTTTGGGGCGGGTTCTTTTCCATTGGAAGAATTTATTTGACGTTTAGCTGTTTCCCGTGAAGTGAAAAATGCGTCCATCTAAATAATAAATTTGCCCCTCAATATAATCTCTGGAGCTTTTTAAATTAAATATTTTACCTTCTCAAAAGAATCGTGTCCTTTCCAGCCCATCAATTCGTCGATATCACACGGTACTCTAGTGAAGCTTAAAATTTTATAATTTACTTTTAAAATTCAATGTTTATTTACATTTTACGTAAATGTCCACGGCGTGAAATCCTTCGGCGATTCTGAAAATATTTTTATTAATTTTTTAATAATAATTAGACCCCTATTTCACGTATGTTTTATGTAAAGATATGGGTTTTTTCTTTTTTTCAATTTTTATTCATTATTTCCTCCTACCTCTGATCTCGTCTTTTTCTTTCCAACAACTTCTACAACTACATTCCCTCCTTTTACTTCTGATTTTGTCAAATCCTCTTTAGTAGTGGTAAAATTCATTAATTCTTCTGTTTTGCGTTTCCCTTCAACTTTTTCACCACTTGCTCTCTTGTGTGGAGATAAACGTCTCAAGTTCTCTCTCTTTTCTGCTGCTTTTGTAGATTCTGAAGGTTTTGATGTTGATTCTACTGTCGAAACATCATTTTGTATTTGTTGTTTAGCTGCCCTTCTAATAGTTTTTTTAGGTTCAGGTCTTTGTTGTTGTGCTAATTTAAGTTTTGTTTCTTGATTTGGAATTGTTTCTTTCTTCTTTTCCTTTTCTTTCCCATCTTTTTCTTTAACTTTATTTTTATTTTCATCTAAATGTCTTAATTCTCTTTGCCGCTTCTTCTCTTCTTCCGCCTTTTTAAAAGTATCGCTAACTTTGTCAAGCTTAAATTGATGCTCCGCTTCCTTTGTTCGTTGACGAACTTCAGCTGTTGCACTCTTTAATCCATGACTGACATCTCGATATTCACTTTGAAGTTTGCGCCTATCTTTATGTATTTGGTCTCGAAGTTCGGTCATCTATATATTTAAAGATATATTAAGGAAAGTTTCTCTTTATAGTCAGTTTTTACTGTTTGAATTCATCTCAAAATCATTTCATTGAATTCCTTTACATAATACCCGCCCTAGTAATGGATTAAAAACTTGAGTGACAATTCTCGAATTAACAATGCCCATAAAAACCCAACAAAACTGAGGGTGTGAATTCGTATTATCAGGGAAGTTAAGGGCGGATAATTATTATCTATAATAATTTCACCTGCTTATCGAATTCGTCATCAGGTTCATGTACGGGAATTGGAGTTCTTGCGCGTTGTTGTCTTTCTGCTTTTTTCTTTTCATCCTCTTCTTTTGGCTCTAAACGTGTAGATCTTTTGTATGTTATTGGCTCATTTGGAGTTAACACAATTGGAAGAATAGGTTCAGAAGGTTGGTAACGTGGACGAGTTTTGGCAGTTGCAGATTCGACCATCTGATTTTAAAAAAAATAAAATAGGTAGATTACAAAAATATAGGGGTCTAGTTGCAATTTAAAAATGTAATTAAATGGAAGGGTTTATAAAATAAATGCCAATTTTGTGTTATTTAAATAGATAACCAATAATTCATGGCGGATTCTTCTTAAATTAAAAATCTCATAATAAATTTGGCGTTTTGTCTCTTTAAATTTAAAAGCTGGATTCATTTTTAATAAAGAAATACCAAATAAAATTATTTTTTGATACATATTTTAACATTTTTATTTAAGAATAAGTAAAATTAGGGGAGGAGGGCATTATATTCATTTTATTAAATAAAATAAATATAGGTAATTTAAAGGTGGTAAACTAAAATGGGCCAAAAATCAAATTAAGGATCGATTGACTAATATATCCTTTTAGTAAAATATATTCACCAACAGAACAATAAGTAAATATGTATTCTGAGTAATTATTCTACTTAAACTTTTGAACGTTAAAATAAGTTAAAAATGTTCTAGGCCATAGTTTAAAAAATTATTTCCATATGTTTTTTAAATTATTAATTTTAAAAAATTATTTCCATAACACATTACCAAATAAACTTTTCAACCTTTTCAAACTCGTCAGAGATAACAGGGATCACGGTATATATAAAAATGAGGATGGGGATATTTTTGTTAATTTGTGGCAGAGGCTAGTTAATAATCTGGGCATATTAGCTACCTATAGGTATGCTTTAAATTTAAAAGCTGCATTCATTTAGTGTTTTGTTAGTTCAATATATTTGAAATATTTTAAGGATACCCAACACCCAACAAAGTCTATCTACTATTTTATTATTTACCTTTGCTACTTCTTCAGCTGTTTTTTTCTTCATTTCTTCTGTTGCCTTCTTCTTTGCTAAAGCCTTCGCTTCCTCTTCCAATTTCTTTCTTTTCTCTTCCTCCTCCTTCAACTTTTTCCTCTTCCTTTCCTCCTCTTCTTTTATTTTTTTCTTCCTTTCTTCTTCTTTTCTCTTTTTTTCTTCCTCTTCTTCTTTTATTTTCCTCTTCCTTTCTTCTTCCTTCCTTTTCTTCTCTTCAATTTCTTCCTTTGACGGTGCTTGTATTGTTTTTGTTTGTTCACCAATTTTGACTTTAGCTTCTGCCATTGGTTGAACAACTGCTTTTTTGGCAAAATCTGTTGTTGGTTTAGTTTGTCCAGGTAAATGGCGAGCAGATTCCTCCGCGCGTCCTTCTTTTAAATTCTGTTCACGGACATAGGTTTCTTCACGACTGATCTGAAATAGTTTGTGTAAATTTAGGAGACAACCTTTATTATAAAAAAATTTTACAGAGATAAAAAGAGTAATCTCGATAGCATGTAATCTTCTAACGGTATTCGACTGTATCATATTTATTAAGCTCACTACTTAGCTTTTATTCTCTAAACGATAATTATCATCTCCTTTGTTTCCTTTTGTTTACCTTACAAAGGTTAGCCTTCCATTTAAATCTGGCCAGCCTTCCAGGTTTAGTAATTCAGCAAGGACCAAAAATAATAATTACCTTTTTATTTCCATCATGTCCCAACTCTTCTGACACTTTTGGTTTTTTAACTTCTATTTTTGTATCAATATCGAGAATCATTTCTTCCGGTTCTTCTGCAATTTCTTCATCTTGTTGTTGTACAGATTGTAAAATAACTAGTTTAGGCTCCTCTTTTTTCTCTTCTTCTTTTGCTTTAATTAAAACATCTTCACCACTATGTACACTTTCAGCAGTTTCGCCAGAAGTTGAAGAACGATAAGAACGGGAAATACTCTTTAAAATTTTTATGTACTTGTCATTAAGGTTACTGATTCAACAATTTTTAGTTCTGATACCCGGTTTCCGTTATGTATATCCGGCGATTTTTCAGGAAACCCAATCTTCATTTTCATTACAATGATTTGGAGGATTTATTTTGTAGATAAAATCGAGTTGAGGAACACTTCAAAGGTCGGAAATAGAATGTTCCTGTCAGTTCCTGCCCCAAAAATTCGCTTCCTACTTAAGTTTTTTAGGATCCTTTCAACTTACCCTATCATCCAATGATCTGCTTCTAGTATAACTTCTTCCATCATCACTAATCTCTTCACTTTCTTCATCAAAAGAACTGGATGTATATGTTTCGCTTGAGTAAGTACCACTTGTTGTTGTGCTGTATTCTTCTTCGTCGGATGGACGCATTGCTGCTTGTTGAACTAAAGTGAAACCAACTTCTACATCATCGCCAATACCAGACCCTTTCAAATAAATTAAAAATGGTTTAGCCTTTAGGAATTTCCATACCTGTTCCCTCATCAGAATATGACTGTCCTGAAGTACCCCAAGAATCACTCATCCCATCATAACTTATTGATGCTGTAAATACTGGTGGGGGTAAAGCATTAGCTTCTGACAAGCGTTCTGCTACTTTCTCACGCCTTTCGAAAGGCAATTCAAAATCAGATTCATAACCAGAGAGTTGCAAAGTACGGCAAACCGTTGCCTCATCCACATCCCAATCGGATTCCCACTCTTCTTCATCAGTATAATCTTCATCTTCATCAGAAAACTCTTCATCAGAATAATCCTCATCCGAATAACTTTCACTTCCCTCACCATCTGGTGCCGCTAATTTCAATGTTATTTGAGCATCAACTTCACTATTATTATTAGTCTTCTGTTTATTTTCAATAACTTCTGCAGATTTTTCGCCTTCTTCTGGTTCTTGCATTGAAGGGCAGGTTACCAATAGTAAAGGAGGAGGTATTTGACGTAATTTGGTACTTGTATCTATTTTGAAGAAAATTAATTTAAAAAATTATAAGTGAATTTTCATTATAAATTAGGAAAACCCTTATATTTATGGACATCATTATTTTATACATAACGAGAGATTTATTGGAATTCATTAATCCATATGTGTATAAAAATATTTTGAAATAAGTTAAATCTCACAAAATTAAAAAAATCTAAATCCTTTAATTGATTAAAAATATGGAAAAAATATTTAAAAGCAGAGATCAAGCATTTGGAAAAAAAAGGTTTTATGACACTGATTGGAGAGAAAAAGTATATATAAAATCGAAAAAAAAGTTTTAATCTCTCTTCTAAGCATAATGGTAAGTTTTTAATTTTTTGTTCTTTAATAACAAATTTTGTTTTCTTGATAGACAACTGACATTTTAAGGATAATTTTTGTCAATGTTTGCATGTTTTTTTGTTGGAGTTAACACGTAAAGAGAAAATTATTGGGACTTGACAGTTGGCTATTTTTTAATAATATTATTTTATTTCAAATATTCTTTTCCAAAGCTTGATAATATTTAGTTGGCTATAATTAGTAAATAATCTCCAAATAATTTTCTGTTCTCTCAAAAAAACAGAAGTCGAAAAAAAGGAAGCGAGAAAAGATTGTGAGCATAAGGACATGGGAAGGCAGGAATGGGAACTGCCCAGGCATGTCGAATAAAATTATTAACGAGTTAGAGGTTATTATTTTAATTGAAATTTCCCAGTTAATCTCTATTAGATCTTGTTTCAAAGTTGTCTAGACCAGAAAATATTTTATTTTAGTACCTTTAACTTTATTATTCAACTCTTCCATCAAATTTTGTATTGTTATTGTTACTCTCCTTTCAATATGTTGTTCTCCTATATTTTTTATTTGATTTGATCTACCATCTTCTTCTGTTTTTATTGAATTTGACTCTATACTTTTACTCTAAAATAATTTAAATATTTTTTTTAATTTAAAATCTAACTTTTTCTTTTATTTTTTCTGAATTGGAAGTATTGAACTGTTGTAACTTTTCTATTAACAATTTATCATTCTCTTTATCTTTTTCATTTTTATTTCCTTTTAAAAATATTTTTTTATTAATTTAAATTTATAATTTATTTACTTTTTAGTAATTTTGTCTCATATCCATTTGAATAATTATATCCATTTAATGTAGAAATACTAGGTGATTGACTTGTTCGATATGGAGATGCTTTGTAGTTGCTATTTAATTTAAAAATATAATTAGTATTTTAAAGAGGGATTTCGACGTTCAAGGAAATTTAGGATCAATTGAAGTTGGTCAAATATTTTATTTTATCAAATACAGTGAGGTGCAAAAGTTTGGAACATTTTCGTGTAAATTGTTTAATCAATAATTTTTCGTTCATTTCTCAGTGAATGGTCTGGATTAAAATTTTTTAAATTAACTATAAGTGTCCTCTATGAATTGATAATAATTGATAATTATTATCAATTGATAATGGGCTCATGTGAAAGCCCTTGAAATTTGCTACAAGATAGCATGAATCTTGTTTTCCAGAAAAAATCCAATCGGGGGATGAGGACCGTTAATTTTTCGAAAGGGCATTTTATGGGGCATTTAGGTGTTTTTTGTTGTGTTAGAAAAATAAATGGTCCTTATCTCGCTAACGAATTTTTTCTGAAAAATTCTATTATTGCTATCTTATAGCAAATTTTATGGGCTTTAAGATAAGCCCAAAATGAAAATTCAAAACTATGCATAAGGGGGCGAAAATATTTTTTTAATTTGAAAAACTCCGTTTTACGTTAATTTTCAGGGTAGCGAGATCTCGACACTGAATTGAGTTATGGGCCTAGTTCTTTTTTATTTTCACTTATTATCGATAATATACTTGTTTGAATTTTTCTAGATTTTTTTGTTTTGATTTTGACATTAAAATATGATGAAATCAAAAATGTTCCAAACTTTTGCACCCCTTATTTTTAAGGTATAAAATATAAATAGGGTAAAATATAAAAATATGCGAAACTAATTAGGAACAACTAGGGTCATTTTATAGAGGACACTTATAGTTAATTTAAAAAATTTTAATCCAGACCATTCACTGAGAAATGAACGAAAAATTATTGATTAACTAATTTACAACAAAATGTTCCAAACTTTTGTTCCTTACTGTATCTATTTAATTCTTAACGATAGAACCGTCATTCTGAATAAATATTAAATTAAATTTACTCTAAAATTTATTCAACTACATTCAATACTTTATAGAAAATACCTTTCAATTCTATTAATAACATCTTTAACTCCAATTCTTTTATTAGAAATATCAGAACCAATTCTTGGTCTTAATTCATTTAAATTTCCTCCCATAGAAATTCCACAAGCATAACTTGCACTTCTTTTAGGTATTCCATAATTTATATTTGAAGTTATTGTTGAAGGAGGAATATATCGAGGACTGCTACTTCCTGGCCTGTTATAATTTTTGGTAGAAGAGTAAAGATCAGAACTTGAATATCTTTAAAAAAGAAGTGATATTGGACTTTAAATTAATGAAAAAGGAATTATAAAAAATATTATCAGACAGTTACCAGATCTTCAGAACTAAACTATAACTAGGTATTCTCAAATATCTTACAAACCTCTATCCCCTGCATAAATTAATTAGAATTATTAATTACCTTTGAGAAGCATTATAATAATTATTAGAGTTTATCGGAGAATATTCCCTTTGATATGAAGAAGCACGATAATTTCCACTTCCCTTACTATTATAACGAGATGAATAACTCATTTAAATAAAATAAATAATTAAATTCTAAATCTTTAAAGTAATTTTTAGAAAAATAAAATAATGCTTCCTTCTATTTTAATATGGGACACGAAGGATATATAGTAAGTGGTAAAAAGAAGCATCACAGTCTCTAGTCCAGAATTCAATTTTTAAAACTTTATGAAAAGATATTCTTAACATAAAACAACAAAAAATAATTTTACAAAATTAAATTTATTTTAAATAATTTCAATTAAAATTATTTTTTACTTAATACTCATTTTTAAAAAATTAAAAATAAAAATAAATATATATTATTTTGAAAATAAAATCTTTTGTTTTGTTGATAGCTCTTGGCCATTTTCTAGTCAAAGAAAAGAATGTGACATAAAAATAAATAAATCTTTATGGGGCAGCTGGTGGATGGATGGATATATTTTAACCGGAAAGAGTTTATATATATTTAATTGTTAATAAAGAAGAATGATTGGACAAAATAGGCAAAAGAAATCAATAAAAATAAAATTAAAATTATTTTTAATTTAAAAACTTTGAATTTTTAAGTATAAAAAACTATTCCATATATAAAACTTTAAAGTTAATTTTTAAATAAAAAATAATAAAAATAAATTTAAATTTAAAAATGTCTGTTTATTTCACGAATTTTTTAAAAAATAAATTAAAAGAATTAAAAAATCAACATTTTATTTTCACGTCGAAATTTGATAACTTCTCTCAAACAATCACACGTCTTTGAAAAATAAATAAATAATTAACAACAACATCTCTCTGCGCATTTGTTGGAAGAATTTTTCTTTAAACTTTTAAATATTTAATTTTAGCTTAGAATTGGATAATTTTT